GGTGCAAAGCACTTGCCGAGTACCCAGCAGTCATTGGAGAAGATCCTCGACCGTTACCTCTCATCAAACCAGGACTGGATGAGCTTGCTCCCTGATGCCTGAGCAACGAAAGTGCAGGTTGTGCTGAAGGGGCACTCACTCTAGGCGCCGCCAGTGCTGATAATCTCAACTCTGCCTAAAAATAATTCCAGAATTTTCATCCACTAATGGCAAATTCTTTGCTAAAAGATGAAGAAAGGGACTAGAATACCTGCTTAAGAAAAGCTGAAACCAGCAATTAATCTGTAATATATAGTTATACTCAGCAAAAATTACTCCTGACTTTTAGAAGTTAACTTTACCTCTGTAGGAAATGGCCTAGAAGGATCACCATACTGCCAGCCAAGTGGAGCAGCTACTGAGTACCATCTACTAATCTGATTCGCAAATCGTATAACCTGTTCACTGTTTACTTTCCTAGCTTCTGCCTGGCGCATTAGCTTGATTTTTATTCCTGCCTTAAAAACGGCTAAGTTAAAATCACTTGATCTACCTCTGGTAGTTTTTTTTGAGTATGAAAAGAAAAAGCGAAAAAATTCCTAAACAAATTTTTTTCAAAAAAATTCTGGTCAGATCATCTAACTCAGTTTTCTTAAATAAAACAGAAGAAGATAAAAGGGACAACAATCAAATTACTTCAGTCGTTTCACTAAGCTTATATTGCTCTTTTGTGAACCGTCGTCAAAGGCTTGTCTCCTAATTAATAAAAAGGAACAAGAACAAAAAACTGAGGCCTAAAAGCGAACTTCTTTTTTTTTAATTTTAGAGTATATTTCCCAAGCAAGTGGCATATTTAGTTCAAAATCTTTAATAAAATATCTGAAATATCCTGCGGAACGTCGAGGGTTCATAGCACAAATGATAACCTGATAAACTGCCTTCGTAAGTGCAAACTCAGCACACTGAAGCTCATTTTCAATTTCTGCTATTGCTGCATTCCGACTGCTAATAGCTTTCTTCAAATTTCTGATCACCTTTTCCCTTTCCCGATGGGCAGGAACTAAAGATATTCATTGATTGTTGTATTATTGCTTCAACGCCAGAAGGCATCTGGCGCTGTCAACCCACGAAGCAGCTTACAAGAAATGGATACTGAACAACCATTACCCTTGGAAAGAATTTTTTTCAACTCTGCTTGTTTCGAAAAGAACAGTTTGCTTAGCGAAGTCACTGTTTCCCCAGACCTTTCCTTGTCCACAACTCGAACGATAAGCTGAAATATTACAAAAAATAATTGAAAACGACGTAGCATTTACAACCCCTCACTAATAACGACTTTACATCCTTTTACTCGCATTTACATCAGTGTTCAAAACAGTTTCGAACCTGCTTTTTACTCCTATTTTTTTTCGAACCAGTGACACATGAAATATAAGAATTTTATGGCGAGTTCAAATAAGTAGGAAAAAGTTAACGATAACGTATATAACAAAAAAAATGTTGCCATCTCCGTTTGCGGCAGTTTAACTGCCCTTTAATGCTCCTCTCTAAATATTTCTTTTAAATTCAACTACACAAAACTTGCCCAGTCTTTGAGGATTTTGAAAGCGTCAACTTTCATGCATAAGGAATTAATTGAGATTCATAGATCTGATTCCTGCAAAAAAAAAAAAAAAAAAAATTAATTTTGAAAATTCTTCTATCTCATCTATAAGCTTCGGCACTAAGTATTGGCAGACGGAACTTCCTAAGTAAAACATTCGACCAAAACACTACTTGCTGAAAAAAAAAAGATATTTCTCACTTGTAGTTTTCTGTGACTATGGGCAGATTTTGAGCAGATATTTGTCGTTGGATTTCGGCTGAATAGCTGAACAAATTCAAAATTTTTTTGTTTCGTGCTCTTCTCAGCCTCAAAAATTAAGGCATGGTTTTTTAAAAAAAGTGCACTCTTGATTTTATTAATAATACTTCACTCTGCAATAAGCCCGCGTACCATATCCCGCAGGTATCCCAATGATTGAAGACGTAAAGTTGCTGTCGGCCGACATCCCTACAGTCATTTCTTGACAAGAAGAAGACAGTAAAGTGAATTTGAAACAAACAAATCAGCGGCTAGGAAATCGCATGAGGGGAGTGGAAATGCTCAAGGAGCAGCTGCCAACAAAAAAGTAGAAGAATACTTTTTTTTAACTTCACCTCTTTTGCATTCTCGAGTCCATAAGCGACCACCCACTGAATTTCAAAAAAGAAAACTTAATCTTTCAAAAAAGTTAGTCACAGACTAAAATGTGCGCTCAAGGGAAGTTTAATGAAATCAGCAGTAAGGTGAAGTTCTGAAGCCATGCAATAACAGCCGATTAGACAATTATACATGCATATAAGTTTTCCATAAATGTTATTTGAAAGCAAAAATCAGAGAACTAAAAGAAACAATAAACGCTATAATGCCAGTGATTCTGTGGCAAGTTTAAATTTGGGAAGGATTTGGAGAGAAACAGAATGAGTTTCAAGCGGAAGATATTTCCAATGAATCAACAACAGTTTTAATGTAGGCCACGACTAAGATCAAGAAACTAAGACCAACATAGTAACTGATTGTTGAGAAAATTGCAATGTAGATCAGTAACAAACTATGATCAGTAAATTGTAAAAACTGTTTTGTGAACCGCAGTTCTAAAACTTTGACTCAAAGTATTGTAAGGCCATGAGGCACCGTAGAGTGCAGGAAAAAGAATCAGGGAACTGCGTGATATCTTTGAAAAAGCTACCTTGCTCAGTTTTCCAGCACAGGGCTAATGTTCAGGACATTAAGTTCAATAAATTTCTTCCAGATACTGGTAAATACTGGAACAATATATTAACGTTCTCTATTTAATTTTTGCAAAATGAAGTGTAGTAGTGCTGTTTCTTAGAAAATAAATCTTTATTTTTGCTAGCATTTGCTGAGTTACGACTCAACTATTACAGAAACAAAAAAAAAAAAAAAAAAAAAAAAAAAAAAAA